TAAAGTGAGATCGAATTTTAATGTAATTGATTAAATTAATTGATTAAAGTTATAAGAATAAACATAAAAGAGAAACTTTTTTTTTATTTAATATGTAATCACATTACATATATATATATATATATATATATATATATATATATATATATAATTCAATATTTATTGATTTAGAATCTGTTCAGAAACTGTTTACATTTTTATTTTTTTTCTCTATAAATTTTATTTATATTTATTTAATATAATAATTAAATTCTCTCTAACTATGTGAAATGATATATGTAATATTAGAGGTGAAATATTAAACTTTAAATATATCCAAAAATTATTACTTTAATTCAGATGTATTTTAATTATTTAATTAATTAATTTATTTTATTTATTTTTATTTCAAATTTATGAAAAATTACGTATAAATTATATATATTTTTTATTATTTTGTGTATATATAAAAGTGTAAAATGAAGTTCTCTCTTTCTCGCTTCCCTCACACACATATACATAAACAGATATATTTATTTATTTATTTGTGGTTGAGAAAAAGGTATAAAATAATAATTCTTATATATGTGAACGTTATACATGCATTACTATGGGTTTCGTATTAACATGTTGATACTTAAATAATATGTTTATATCATGAAAAACTGAATTACAATTTTTTAGAACGACAAATACCGATCTCGTAATTTTTCTAATTGACCGAGTTAACTCTTGTATATCCTATTTACACCATATTTTTCCCTCATAAAGTATATAACATGTGCCGTTGCTCTCTCGCGGTCGAACAAATTGCTATAATTGCATTAAGAAAAACTCAGTTCACGAATTGATTAACATACACATATATACGAAGTAAAATTTGAGCAAGCTGCAGGTTATATAACGAATATAATAATTACGCTTTTAAAAGTTCACATTGATCAGAGGATTAGAAAAGAGAGATCGCAAGACAATATTTCAATATTTCCTTATCTTTGCGCAAGACAAAGATCACAGACGATAATAAAACGATATCTCGCTCTATCTTTGCGCAAGAGAAGAGAAGTGATTTTTTTTCCGCGACGCTCGATGCATGAACATTGACGAATCCTTACCGCGTCTTCCTATTACATAAGAAGGAATCCGTGTAACTGATCGTTTACCTGATGGTCTACGACGTTATGAAATTATAACGAAGTCGCGATACGGTATCGCGCACGATTCGTAAGAGTTCGAGTCCGAAACTGTATCCAAGGGTAATGGGGTGTTCAGGACGCGCCTGTTGAATTTTACATTAGTCGGTTTAAACGACAGTTATGGATAACCTATCGTTACCTTCGAATCGCGCTTATCGCGTTAGCGAGATGGAATCTTATTAAGTAGAGTGGAACGGAATTACGGTAACGCGAACACCTAGTCCGCCGTTACATCTAAAGGCCAACAGCTTATACTCTATGATCCTGCTCCCTATTTTTTTTTTGCTTTCGCAATTCCGCCGAGAATCGTCGACTCCGTCATTACTTAATAGCGTATAATTAAAGATTAATGATTATATACCATCTTATACCTCTATTTTATATGAATCTTAAGTAATTGAGGATGCAAGTGCAAGACTTAGAGCGTTAAAACAAATGTAAAAATACGTAAAAATAAATTTAACTCTTGACGAAATTATCTTGTTATTGATTTTAGAAAAATATATACTTTAAAGTATGTTTTGAGATGCATTGTATAAATTATATACTTAAAAAACTTACTATTATTAATTAATTATAATATTTAAAAAATTATTTTAATCGAAAAAAATACTTTATTTATTTTACCATCATCAGATATTTTTCAATATAATTTTTAGTATTAATATAATAAATTTGAATAATATTGAAGAGATCTACGAGATAGAGTTAAATTAATTATGTATTTCTACATAATTTTCTCTCAATAATCTATTTCTTCACTATTTTCTTTGCAATCTGTAACTATTTTATAATTTATATTAAATTGGCATATCATGGGATAGCATCAAAAATTTGAAATGATAGCTGAGTTTTTATTCCCATGTTTTCATGTTTAAAATACATTAATCAACTTAACGCCTTCTTTTCGCGGAAATTTCACTATTTGTGAACATTAGCCGTGTCATGGCATATGTTTTTCAAAGACGGAGAGAAAGAGAAGAGAGAGCCGAGTTTTGCTTAAGACGATAAGACACGACTAGAAATCGACAAACATCGTGCTGTATCGTTTCGGCGTTTCGCGAATCATTCACATCTAAATTTATGCAACGCAATAATCCTCTAACATTTGTGGTAAACCGCATTTTTACTGCATTTTTGTAGTGAAAGCAAGTACATACTGTCAAGTCCGGACTTTAGCATCACACTGCGTATTTATTTAGCTTAAATTATGGAAAAAATAAGAAAGAATCGAAAAAAATAAATTTCATTAAATATCATTTTTTTAAATTAAATTGTTGTTTTACGTCCCATAAACGCAATATAATATACACATGCATTGATACCGATTAATTATAATTTCGTTCGTGTCCCCGAAAAGTCAATCCAAAGCTTGCAAATAGACGTTTGTCTGTATCCTTATTTTAACCATAAAACACATCAAGATTTTTTACTGCAATCTTTCGCATTATAATCATATTCTGCGAGATAATAAATGACAAGCTAGATTGCAATGACGATTTCCGAAAGAAATTGCATTTTTTTGAATATTATTTTTCTAGATATACAGAATTAATATTCGTTTCCTTAAATATAATTAATAATGTGATGATATATGAATTTTTTTCATGAAAATTTATTACTAATTAATGCTTTTTTACTTTTAATATTTAAAAAAAACTATAAAATACAAGAAGAGAAACTAAATAATTAGAATGCATTTATAACTCACTGTCAATACAATGATTTATTAGAATAATTATTAGAATAATTTAACATTAACTAGGAATGAAATATTTGCTTATCGCATTAGTGAAAAATTTATCTTGTAAATCTCTTTTTAATTAGCTGTATAAACAATGTGACAATATTTTGATCCACAAATTCTCACAAGGAAAATATTATCTTCAAATGTGCCAAACTATTTGAACTTAAAATATAATTATTTGATATAAATATTACATTAGAGTATATCTACTGAAAAAACATGAAATTTGAAACTTTCAGGGATTTTTTGTACCTGCAAAAATTAGAAAATTCTCACAGAATTTTATTGAGTCTCAACAAATTTTTAAAAAATTTTTTCCTTTATAATTTGTTTTTATAGTGAACAATCAATAAGTCAAATGAATTATATATTTATAATATATTAATATGTATATATCTTTATTTACATGAATGTTTGAACAAATTATTGAATATGCAGTACAATTTTTTTATTATTGTATAATTTTTAATGATAAAAGAATAAAAATTTTATGTAAGTAAAAAATACTTATTTTACAAAAGTTATTCATTTTTTTAAATCTAGTACTTGAAATTTAAAAGTCTTTATTCGTTATTCCTTCGTATAAATAAAAATTAGAGAATGCAATAAAAAATATTATATTTATTTTAAAAAAGTTGCATCAAAAAATCATCAAAAATTATTATTTTTACCTGAAATCTTAAACAAAAATGAAAGACTAGGAAATTTTCAGGGACCAGGAAATTTTCTTAAATAGACACCATCTAAAAAAATTCTGTAATAAAACGCGAATCTTATTAATCTGCACGTCAATTAAAATTTCCTACGTCAGACTTTCTGAATGTCTCATTTTCTTCATATCTCACGTTCGTAGATGTAATAATCGGTCACTAGAAAATCGTATCTTTGCCCGCGTCCGCGGACAGTCTCAATTCCGATGGTACGTTCGAGATTACCGAGTAAATCAGCGTATTCGCGATCATGCTGAAGTGGGTGCACTACTGCCCGTTGCCAAGAGATCGTGCAATCACGTCCTCGGACGCGAAGATGGTCTCGGGCGAGACTACGAGGGACGAGAAGGACGGAAGAAGGGCGGTCGACAGAAGAAAGGACAGCGGTGGCACGATGCGGAGCGCGAGAAACGCGAAACTCACGACGCCGGACGCTATCATGAGGAGATGCTTCCGGTTCGGGGTAAGGAGCAAAGGAAGTCGAACTTGACAGTCGGCTGCACACGGCGGTCTCGAGGTCGACGCGGCTTCTTCCGACGTGTAATCTCTGCGTATTAACAGCCATGAAACCGTATTTTCTTGCTTTTTTTATTTTGCCTCGTACAATGGCAGGTGGATTATTTTGCTAAATTGATTATGATATCGTTAAGCATCGTGCTTACTAAGCATTTCTTGTGAATTTCTGGGTATTTATGCGTTCATCTATTTGTGATATTAATTGTCAGATAATGTATTAATGTATTTTTTTATGATATATGTTCTTATCGTGTGAATAGTCTGAAATAACTTTATCTCTAAAGATATCGCACTGGATGGTATCAAAAAGGCATGATAATCTCTTTTATAACTAAACAAGAAATATTATTGAATGCAATTTATAATTGCATATTTATGATAATTATGAATAATTATCATAAATGTATAATTATAAATTTAATAATATTTCTTATGTATGTGTGTGTTATGTAAGAAATTATTTTTAAAAATAGCAAATATTTATTCAAACGTGTGGCGTAAATAAATACATTTGAATGAAAATGTGCTACATTTATAATGTGGGTTAATTAATCATGGATCAGCGTTTCTTGTGCTCGTTTTTCACATTCTTATGTGAAATATAAATAGAAGGAAATAATTGAGTGACCTACAAAATACTAACAAATAAAATGTTCTATTCTTATTTATAATATGGCTTAAACTATAATCTAACTAAAAAAAGACTAGATGATATCGCTGGCAGAGTTAGGCCGATCAAAGTGATTAGTGGAACTGGTCTTTATCGTTGCGGCAATCCTTGCGGATTATGTGATTACGGTCCATATACGATGCGTCGAAGGCATCGCTAACTATGCGTTTCATGGTTCGCAGGGTTCGGATCCGAGGGTAGCGACCTGTAGAGGAAAACTGCAAAACAAGCGGAGTAAGCTCAACCAAGAGATTAACAAGGAGTTGCGGCTACGAGCAGGTGCCGAGAATCTTTTCAAGTAAGCGTTTTTACATTTCTTAAATAATTTATATTGATATGTAATTATTAAAAATAAAATTATATATACAGGATTTATCTAAACGATAAATATTTTAATGACAAATTCTTTGTGACATTTTTTAAGACGAAAATTCTAATACGAAAATGTCAGTTTAGATTAATATTGGATAAATATCACTAGGTATATTAAATAAATTTAATTGTACATACATTCAATAATATAAATGCAAATGCGGTAACACGCATGTTCGATAATTTGTAAATATAATTTAATTAATTAAAATTAATTTTAAATATGTATAATTTTATATATTTTTTTATATAATTTTTATGTAATTTAAATTTATGTAATTTTAAAAAGTATTCAACATAACATTATTAGACGTTCTTTTAATAACAAATTCTCTGAGCAATTTGGAGTAAATTTTTTCTTAACAAAAACTATTGAAGGAGGTTTTTTGCAAATTTCAAATTTTTTCCCATCACATATCTCTATAACAAAGCTACAAATTAAAATTCAATTAAAGTGAAGTCTACGAAATTAATTAAAAGTATAATTTTGTTAACTTTTTAACTCCATAAAGTTTACTTTGCGGAAAATTTTTTTTTAAATTCTTTTATAATTTTTGTATGAAAATTATGATGCCTTTATATTTCTTCACTAAGAAAAATCGTCACTAAATTAATCAAAGGCTCAGCTATTAAAAAGGAATAAGATATCCTATAAACAAGAAAAATTGCTCTGCAAAACTGAAAGTTTTAAATTATTAATCACAGTTTACGATTACATAAATAAAAAATATAAAATGAGATTTTGCTATAATTAAAAATAGTTTTATAAATAACGCATAATTACATTTGTATTCACTTGCTAATCTCGTTACAGAGCAACTACAAACAGAAAACTGAAGGAGACCGTCGCCTTGGAACTAAGCTTTGTTAATTCAAATCTGCAGCTGTTGAAGGAACAACTCGCTGAATTAAACAGCTCGGTGGAGTTGTATCAAAATGTCGATGGGTAAGTTTGAGCTTTATGAAAATTATAAGTTTTATCAACATATGTAATAAATATATGGCATTAAACTGTTTTTTTTTCTTTCAGCGTTGAGCCTATTATGCCGATGATACCATTGGGACTGAAAGAAACCAAAGATATCGACTTTCAGGATCCGTTCAAGGTAAGTCCTAATTCAATGCGATGATCAAGTTTCAGAATCATCGTGATACTTATAATTATCATTTTTCATTCATCATAATCGTTCCATTGTCCCTGTTTATTCAAGAGGCGGAACGTCCGAGTTGTCTTCAAAATTTTCGAGGCTTTCCTCTTCCTTTGCCAAATTTTTCTCATCTGTTTGAGCTCGTTTTGCGGAATCTTTGGTTACCATCAAAAAATCATGAAGATCTAAAGATGGACCGATCTCGAGAAGAGCTCGCCGAGATATTACAGGCGGTCGAACTATAAGAATCTTTTTTTCCTGTTTAGATTCTTTCTTTTTCGTCGATTCATCCTTTCCTATGATTGTTTTGCACGGGATTAAACGGGCCATATTGATCACCAAATTTCCGGTGATTGTATTCCGTTGAACATTACTTCTCTCGACCGATACCTCGCAAGGTAGAGTCAACTGCAGTATCTTTCCTTTTATGATAACTCGCACGTAAGTCGGGTTTACATCGACGCCGATGTAAGAAGTATCTAAGTGCCTACGAATGTGGAAAAAAATGTACGATAAGAATGAAGGCTAAAAATTCTTAGGAAGTTTTGATAAATTTGGTAAAACCATAACAAAGAAAAAAGTATATTAACAGAAAAAAGTATATTAATAATTATATATAATAATATAAATAATAATTATATACGAGTGTATTAGAAATTAATTATTAATTAAAATTAAAAAATTAATTATTTATCTTGAAACTGATAAATTTTTTGCGAAATAAGTTGCAATATACATTTTTCTACATTTATTTACTTTCAATTATCTATTGGATAATACATGTTATTTGGTACAATGCATATTGTATTACGTTAATGATTACCTATAAACGGAGACTTCGAGAACAATAAAATTGGGATCATCTTCATCGTTTAGCTTGAATGATACTTTCGCTTGATTTATATTATAAGCTCTTCCATTCGGGGCAAATAATTTCAGGACGCGTTTTGGACAATCATTCTTATTTGAAGAGCGATTTCTCATCTCTTGTTGCTTCAAGGATCGTTCAGCGATGGCGACCCTATCTTCTGGCGTATGATAACTAGGCTGCTTCCAGAAACGTTCGTTCTCTGCCTCATCATCCTTCCCTGTATTTGCGTTCTCGCTTGGTTCGTTTTTTATATTTTCCTGTTCCTCTTCTATAGTATTCTAAAGGAGATATTGTTCGCTCTCATATTTTACGTTATTCTTGCCTAAATGAGTCTGCTCACGTGCTAACAAACTGTTTAAAAAAAGGAAATATTCACTCGAATATTAGCTCAACTAAAAAAACAAATTTTTGAAGCCTTCTTCCAAGTCTTTTGCAATTCAAATCAAACTGTTCCGAGAAACGTCTTTGACAAATTAACATAAAGATTTATGTTAATTGTTACCTTGTGAATTAAATGCAAGAGAATACACTTCAATAATATTTAAATAATTACTGTATAATAATATAACTGATCTGCATGCTTACATACTAGTACAGTAATTGAATTATCATCACGAAAATCTATCACTCACTACACGTCATCGAGAAAAAATTACCGTCTTTATCTCTGTCGTTTCAAGTGCAGCTTTACGACGTGTCCGTTCAACTATCCTGGTTCTCTCATATCGTTGATAACTTTCGATAACATCGTCCCGTGCTTGCGCATAAATCTGTAACGCCTTGATACGCTCTGATCTTTCAATCTCTTGCATGTCAAGCTCTCGCAATTGCGGCAGAGTCGCCACAATATATTGTCTGTAATATTCATAATCCGCGCACGGATTTCCCATTAAAATTAATTGCTCCAGATTCTCATTGCACCTAAGGAAAACACGAGATACTCGTGTTGAGTCAGCAATATATTTAGAATATTAATTATTTTATTATTTAATATTCAGAGAATAAACATTTGAAAAGAAGGATATTTTATTTACTAATTTTATCAAAATTCACATATTAAATTTATTATATATTTTATTATATATTTGCTTACATAGTAAAAAGTAAAATGTTAATTATAACATTTTTCACACGTCCCCTAAAGTCCACTCTAAATTTTAAGTTAAAATCACTCACTTGTTATATGTTACTTATTGACAAACAAAAATGTTAAATAATTGACACAATACTTGACATTTATTTTTGTTATCGTGACTTTAAATATAATATAAAAATAACATACAAACTAATTAAAAATTACATGAAAAAATAGTTATAATAACTCGTAAGAAATGTTAAGATCATTAACATATAATAGTAATTATTTTAACTTAAATTATTTGTAATAGAAACATTTGATTTTAGTAAATTTGATTATTTTTATGTCAAAGTTCAAGATTATTTGAAGATTCATTTAAACTTTTCTTAATGTTAAGCTGACTTTAAGACATATTGATTGTTTAAAATGATTATGTTAAAAATACTCAAAATAATATTCCATTTCTAAGAGACATATACAAAGTGTTAAGTTATAAAGTTGACATAAATGTAACACATGAAAACATTATAAAAATAATAACATATAGGTTGTATGTTAATTTTACATTGAACTAATCAAAACGTGATAACACAAGATAATTTTAACATATGGACGCACAATTTTTTACTGTGTATATTTAATGATATATTATAAGATAGAATAATATTAATATGTAACTATAATATTAATAATTATATTGATAATAAAAATATATTATTTATTATTTTTTACATAATTTGACAAAACATGAAGAAGTTGTATTTTTTAATCTGATATACAGGGTGTCCGTCAATTTTCGACCTTAACGAAATAAAGAAGTAGATTGGCTCAAATTAAGAAGGAATGACCTGTATGACCCGTCCTTTTAGTGGGGAGAAAATGATGCGCTATCATTTCCACACCACCTTGCGGTAGATAGCATGGTGCGCTTTTTTTATAGTGGTTTCCCCCATAGGCCTATTCCACTCTCAATTTGAAAATTATTCAAAATGCCATTACTATACGCTGAATATATCGTAAATGTAAAAAATTAATAGTGACAGTACCTTTACAAAAATTAATCCGTGGTTGAAAATCCTTCGATAAAATGTATTGCACACGTTGATAATGATACGATGATAAAATGCTTCAAGAATCCTTTCTTCATCTCGTACACGAAGGCGCACTGCTGGACCTGTTATCACGATATTATGCACGATACCCAGTTTCACATAATTTATTGCACAACACGTAAAATTGTACGGCCACTTGATTTTCGTGCACGCCCGAGAAATGATTCCATGTAAATTGCGGCCGCACGATAAGTATTTTCTCCCGCTACTCCGTATGCCACAATCATATCTGTATATTCCAGCAGAGTACACTTCATTTTCACTGTTAATTTACTACGTAAACACAAGATTTTAATTAAAACGTCTTAGCTCTCACACGCTGTTACCAGACTGTGTACGCCAGCAGCACGCAACTACAGCTGACAGCTGAGCGGACATGTGAATGGAAGCATACGTGTGAGTTCGACGCTTGCGCACTATGATTACATTCACATGTCCACTCAGCTGTCAGCTGTAGTTGCGTGCTGCTGGCGTACGCAGTCTGGTAACAGCGTGCGAGAGCTAAGACGTTTTAATAAAAATCTTGTGTTTGCGTAGTAAATTAACAGTGAAAATGAAGTGTACTCTGCAAGAATATACGGATATGATTGTGGCATACGGACTAGCGAGAGAAAATATTTATCGTGCGGCCGCAATTTACATGGAATCATTTCTCGAACGTGCGAAAACCAAGTGGCCATACAATTTTACGTGTTGTGCAATAAATTATGTGAAACTGGGTGTCGTGTATAATATCGTGATAACCGGTCCAGCAGTGCGCCTTCGTGTACGAGATGAAGAAAGAATTCATGCAAGGATTCATGAAGCATTTTATCATAATATCATTATCAACGTGTGCAATACATTTTATCGAGGGATTTTCAACCACGGATCAATTTTTGTAAAGGTACTGTCACCATTAATTTTTTACATTTACGATATATTCAGCGTATAGTAATGGCATTTTAAATAATTTTCAAATTGAGAGTGGAATAGGCCTATGGGGGAAACCACTATAAAAAAAGCGCACCATGCTATCTACCGCAAGGTGGTGTGGAAATGATAGCGCATCATTTTCTCGCCACTAAAAGGACTGGGTCATTTTTCGGCGCGATATTGCGATATATCGCAAACCACCATCATGTCTCGGAGAGCGACCCGCCCATCGCTTCGCCGCGCTCGTAGTATCGGATTACAGTGGGACGACTCTCGTCGCCGCACGTTTCTACTCACGCAGATTAGCCGATCTTCTTTATTTAATATTTCATTAATTATTGCGACAACCCCAAAACAATACAGGTCATTCCTTCTTAATTTGAGCCAATCTACTTCTTTATTTCGTGAAGGTCGAAAATTGACACCCTGTATAAATATTACGCTTAAGTGTGAGTCCAAGAAGCAGATTTCGGATATTCACTGTAAGTCAGCCGCTCCTCGGGCGATCGGGACGAGATTTAAACGGTAGTGCCGCGAAATGGTATAGAATTTTATGCAAAAAGAACGAAATCGCTATCGCGTCCGGAAGTCGAGATATAAATTGGCCGTTTTTCGTCTGCGTGCGGACGGTCGAAATCGTGCACGACGCCGCGCATGTTGCCTGCCTCTCTCGGGCGATATTCACTGTAACGCGGCGAGTAAAATGGCAAGCCGAATGCAATCCGTCAAATAGTGAATTAAATATTTATATATACCAAACGAAAAGATGAATCGGAATGCATTCGTTCGATTAATTCGTTGAATATTTATATATATAAATTTTATATAATTAATTATTGCGACAATCCCAAAACAATACAGGTCATTCCTTCTTAATTTGAGCCAATCTACTTCTTTATTTCGTTCTAAAATTGACGGACACCCTGTATATTGATATGATAAATATCATTTATGAAAAAATACCTGAGACTTTTTACGCTCTGTAAATTGCCGATGAAATTGACGGTGAGATCTAACTTCTTTAAGCTCTCTAAACCCTCTAGATTTTCGATAACCTTGATGTTATTGAGGGCTAAGTTCAAGTATTCCAATCTCTTCAGCATACTCAGATTCTCGATCTTTGATATAAGATTATTCTGTAATAAGAGGATCTTGAGATGCCGGCAATGTCTATCTATCAGCTGGATTTCATCGATATTCTCTTGATGCAAAGCTATCTCTTCCAACGTCGATATTTCACCCTCGTTGTGCTCCGAGCGTTTTCGTATTAATTCAAGGGTGATTTTTACCATTTTCGTTTTTTCTTAGTTTCGAAACGAGAATTATTAATACGAGATAATTATTCCCAAGCACGTTTCAAGAAGAAACGAGCAAACACACGTTAACTGTCGTTTAAAGTCTCGTAGTTGCTATGAACACATCGATTTAATATTGTTGGTCACGTGCTGCGATTCCATGTTCTACATGCACGTGTCACGAATTATCGATTGCCCTGCGTAATCTCTTTTCTCTCATGTAGGATTTTATCTTGGAGCATTATAGCGAAGATGGCGAAAACTACGAAGAAGCCATAGCAGATCTGATGGAAACTAGACAGGTAAATAAATAATATGTTTCTTTTTTTATTGTAATAATTTGATTTAAATTTGTAAGAAATATAAAAAGATATTTTGGCTTATTTATATTATTTATAATATAAACATTTCTTGTTGAAGGATTTTACATAAATTTTTAGATTGTCTAGCTTTAATTTTAATATGTTATAATGATTTAAATATTATCTTGAAATGTGAAAAAAATTTAAATTTAATTGGTAATATATTAGAAATAGATATTAAAAATTAAAAATAATTATTTAAAAATTTTAATTCACACATAGGCTACAAGGACACCGACCAGAGACTCGGCAGGCATCGCGTTACTCCTGCGTTATTACAATCAGCTGTATTTCATAGAGAGGCGATTCTTTCCACCCGATAGGAGCCTCGGCATCTATTTCGAATGGTTCGATTCGTTAACAGGAGTTCCGAGTTGCCAGAGAACCGTCGCCTTTGAAAAGGCTTCGATTCTCTTTAATGCTGGTGCACTTTATACACAATTGGCCGCTAAGCAGGATCGCTTGACAGCTCGAGGACTTGATCAGGCGGTCGATGCTTTCCTGCGAGCGGCCGGCACTTTTCGCTACATCCACGAAAACTTCACGAATGCACCAAGCATGGATTTGGGTCCAGATATGTTGGAGATGCTCGTGCAACTGATGCTGGTAAATTTTTATTCTTGCCTCGTAGCCACTTGGAGTTTATTGGAAATTTTTTTCTTAACTTACCTTTTTTTTAATATTGTATATATTTTTCATATATATTTAATTTCTCATATATACATTTACAAAGAATTTTTAATGATGTGCTTTATTTTTAATATATTTAGATATTTTAAATATATTTATTATTAAATATATATTTATATATATTTTTTAATGATGTGCCTTATTTTTAATATATTTCGATATTTTTAATATATTTAGTATAGATATTTTAATTTGTAAAATTGTTCTTCTAAAGTTTAAATAAACAATTATACCTTATTTTAAGAATCTTTAATTACATTAAGAATTTTCTATTACATACGCCATATTTTCACTATTAACAATTAATTTATTTCGTGCACTCGTGTTTTTAGGCTCAGGCAAGAGAGTGTCTTTTCGAAAAGTTGGAACTTCAATCGAGAGACGGTAGAAACATTGATGTTTGCTTGGATCTTGCTCAAGAGGCTGCCCAGGTAAAAAAGATTTTCTACGAATAGCTGTTTCTACTTCTCGCGATTATCAGTGCGATAAGCATAAGTGAATCATCGAGATAATTAATCTAGGTTGCGGCAATATACAATGATGTCCACGGATTGATATCGCGCCAACCGGTTCGTGACTACGTCCCCGAGACATGGATTTCACTGATACTGGTGAAGCGCGAGCATCATCTCGCTCTTGCTCACAAGCATCTCGCGGTCGGTCTGCTGGACAGACCGATCGTTGAGTTTCGTGTAGAAACAAGATGCACATTGGAGCATATTCAGAAGAGCGATGGCAAGACTCAATTAGACATAATCGTTCCCAGAGATGACAATGAAAGGAAAATATTGGGTATTAGGCTCTCATTATTTTACACATATACACTTACGTTTATTCATTTTATTATTCAAATAATTTTATATTTTCAAATGATTCAAATGATTTTATATTTTATATTATTTTATATTATTTTTGTATTTTTTATATTTTCAAGTATTTTTTTTATTCATTTTAATACTAACATTCTAATTCTTTATAAGTACAAAAAATGAATATATCAAGGAAAGAATTTCTCATTGCAGGCAAAGCTCATCTCAGAGAAGCTCTCGTTTTACACGATGAGAGCCAACGATTGCAGAGAATGTGCCGCGATTTGAAAGGTAAACAAGCGTTGGCGAGGGTTTTGAAGAAAGCACAAGAAGCGACACTTGACAGCTATAACAAATTCGGCAACGAAGATGATTTTCGAGAACTGTTGGATCCGCCAGATATAATTGGTACAATATTTTTTGAAATTTGAAAAATATATCAATAATTTAATTTTGTTTCCTATATTTTGATAAAAAAGATAATTTAAAAGTATAAAATTTTTTAATTTTCATTTGAATTTAATTTTTAATTTTCATTTTTTATTTGCAAAAACCAGCTTCCACGAAGTTTCAACTTAGCATTACCCATCCGGATTTCGGGCAGCACGGAGTAGATGATCTTTTCAGATCGTTGGGACCCGTGGCAATATTTTCGGCCAAACGACACTGGACCGCGCCGCGATTGGTGCAGCTTCAAAGAGGCCCTGATGGCGAAGGTTTTGGATTTAGCGTACGCGGCGACGCTCCGGTGATAATAGCTGCCGTCGATCATAATTCACTGGCTGATGTAAGAGTATATTTGTTAACGAATTTTTATCAATTATAATTAATTTGATCGATTATCTACAGTAATACAATTGTACAATAATACTTTAATTTAATTTCAACCCTCTTTTTTTAATAATAACTATGACAACAATTAATAACAAGATAATTATTTTTCATTTTAGGTAGGCGGAATGAAGGAGGGTGATTTTATAGTCGGCATTGGCGACAAAGACGTCAAATGGGCATCTCACGAGCAAGTTGTACGGATGATAAAACAATGCGGTGACTTTATAAATTTGAAGTTGGTCACGCCAATGGACAGAAATTATTTAAAGGTAATTGATATAATCTATAAAATCTATATATCACTTTAATAAAGAGAATATATATAGCAATGCATGATACATTAATTATTAAAAATAGATACTTTAATTATTAAAAAAATTAAAGAATTATTTAAAAAAATATTTTTAAGAATATTCACAGCGATACATTATTAAGAATAATGATTATTCTCTTTTTGACTGAAACGGTATCATACTCTTTCGATAAATCATTTAAATAAATATGAGGAAGCTAGCAGGAATTATATAATTATTTTAGAAACCAGGGAAACCCAACAGTCACCACGATAAGGGCAGCGTTTCGGCGAGTAGCTCTTCTGGAGTGTCTTCCGGCCAGCCAAGCCCGGCGGGATCTGTCACTACGGCGCACGTAGTTAGGAGGCTTCCATGGAATCCGTTCAAAAAATCCGGCGCCCAACGCGAGAACAGAGATCTAACTTTCGACAATGTTATTCTCAGATGATTACCGGGCTAAAAATGTATCTAGACGTTGTCTGGATTTAAAGTAGATCGCAACAAAGAGATGATCGGTTCATATACGAAATAAGATTTGCGATTATCGATAGAATAGATTATCGATTACGAAAATTGAATATTATTCGGCATGAATAATAATCGAGACCCAATTTTACATGATTATGATATTGTTATTATCGTGATTTATGTATTATATGCGACAAATTTATATTTGTCACATAGACGATATGAATGACACGACCTTGTCAATTCGTTACACGAATAATGATTTATATTTATGCCGAAAAATATTCGATATTAACAATTTTTTTTGTCAAAATTCTCTATTTAGACATTTTTTTATACCTTTTTTTGAACAAATATATTTAGATCTACATTCAACAAATTCACAATTATATATTCTAAATATTAACAATATAAAATTTCTCTCAATGATTAATATTATAGATTTTTGTCGATGTTTTTATGAATAATAGTGCCAACCTATGTAAGAAATTAATCATAAAAAAATGCAAGAAAATCGCCCATTACCGTGTATATCAGTGGGCATACATTTTTTTACATGACTGAATTGATTCTTTTTGTCAGATCGTTTATGTAAGTTCGTTTACAACTGAAACGAAAACGTGTAGATAAATGTTCTGATAAATAGTCGTGTAGCGATACGGGATGCAACGAATTCCGCGATTGACACGCTTTGTACTTATAATTTCGTTAAAATGAATCGGGTGTTTATGCGAGCGTATTCGCACATCTGTACATTTATACATAGATGTAGCATCGGTAGAGGCGTGTGTACACAGCTTTTTATTTTATATATATATAAATATATATGTATATCATAATGAGAGAGAAATTATATCCAATTTCTTTTCGAGGGAAATGATTTTCATTTTAATTTTCCCAAATGCCCAAAAAATCTTATTGTTAGTTGATTGTGGGGGAATCAAGCTCGATTGGATTTCTGTGAAAAAGCGAATTTTAAAAAAGCATAACAACATATATTGTTGTGAAGTTTTTAATTAGATATAGCAGCCGAGAAGAAACACATATGATTTTTTTATACTCGAATATTTGGCGAATATTTTGATCTGTCTCAATATTATACAGACTACAAGATTTATTATTATTTTAAATTTTATCTTTCCTTGTTAATGCAACTTTTTTAAGATTAAATTTCTTTAGGATTTATCATTTTAATTATTGAAAAAATGATAATATAAATCTATTAAGCTATATCTGTCGCTAATTCAATATATATTCTGGATAAGTTATTAATAATGTAAGACTATCTTACTGAGATCGAACCGAGGTCGTTGCACTTTCGTTTCAATGAGTGTTGTTAGCTTTTAGGGTCGTCGGAGAAAGTGCAGCGGCTGAAGCGTTCTTGAAACGTGTTGTTAGCCACTCAGACGATACGAAACTTTCAAACTTGCATGACGATTATATTCAACGATATTACATTAATGTGATTAAAATTTCATAGTATTTTGCGTCTGAAGATAAATACATACAAAATTATAGTAAATTTCACGAAATTATCTCAGACACTTCTCAAAATGATAAAAAATCAAGTTATTTTTTATTCAATTCGCTAAAAAATATACAAATAATATTTTTTATTTTATTAATAAAGTTATTGAGCTTAGTAAAAATCTAGTTAATTTTTAAAAATTAATTAATATGTGCATAAAATGACATTCGTAAGAAAAATGATTGCTTCAATGACTACTGAATTTATTTTAGTAACAAATGCAGCATAAAAATGATAACAAATGTCGTTTTAAAACGATATGTTTAATACATACATATGTTATACATTTTTAACAAAGTATATAATTATCAGTTATTTTAATTTCTAATCATTTTTTATCTATATCGCTCATCACTGTACAAATATGTCTAAAAACATTGCGTGCTGCAAATTTTCTCTCTTTATCCTATTTTTCGCATGATAAGCACAATAAAATGATTAAATTGCACCGCTGGATTCATGAATATGCATTGATTCAAAAGTCTCATTTAAGAGTCTATACATAATTGGCCTCCAAGTTTCGTTACGGCCATAAAACAATTCCATCGAGATTTCTACTTTCTTGAACCAACGCTGTTGAACAGCTTTACATGTGATTACACAAAGGATACAACATAATTCAAGTATATTTTGGTAAATCTTAAGAATTAAAGAAATACTTTAATACAAAATATAAAGATCCAATTTCGCAAAATAAAAAATATGTAATTTAAATGTAATTAAATTATATAAATTTAAATTTAATTTAAATCTAATAAATATAAATTTAAATACAATTATAAATTCAATTGAAATAAATATAACATAAATATAACATTATTTAATAAAATTACATTAAAGTTAAATTATTAATTAAATATAAAATTAAACATTACACTTAAATAATTAATTTAAGACTTACTTTAAGATTTAATACTTTATTTTAATTTAAAACAACTTTTATAATATATTTTTACTATGATTTTCAAATAATCTCAGTGTGATTTTGATATTAATGCAAATTTTAAATACAATGATTATCTAACAATTTTTGCTTGCAATATGGAACTTGTTTTATAAACTTAAGTGATTATTAAGTAAATTGTGTTCTCACATGCTTAACACTAGTCGCTTTTTTAAGTGACATATCAGTAACATTGCAAAGTAAAGAGAACTCGAAGAAAGACGTATCGAATTCTAATATCGAAAAATACAGTGAGAAATAGAAAGGCGTATTATATGATATATATATATATAAACACGTGTTGTGACTTTCACCGACGCAACGTCAGAAAACGTTGCTGTGTGCCAACGATAGATATTACGCAATAATTTACGCAGTTATAACGGTAAGCAGGCATGCGGTACGTCCGGTTGTAGCATTTGCGGTTAAATTTCACGGAATAAAAGGCGGAATAAAGCACCTGATTATCCGAACACGCTTAACCGAGCTGATGAGCAAAGCTCTTTCCTCGCTTTCTAGACATAATGAAAAAATAAGTTTTAATCGCAATTTTTTATATCAAAATTAGTAACCTGGCAAAATTGGATAGACACATGAAACAATGAATATTATAAGATTTTATTGCATCGTGGATGGAAAAATATAGACTCGATTTTAAACAAATTAAAATAACGGGGCGCATATTTTGAAATGTAGAAAAAAGAAATAATGAACCTAAAAGCTCTTGTGTAGTCAATCTATAGAGGACAAAGTTCTCGGCATTTCTTTAAACGTTGCTTACCAATTCGGTCATCGCGACAGCAAACATGAACAGCAGATTTGCCTTGTTATTCTGAAGCCGAATCTCAATATTCAAAATTCGAAACGTTGAACGAACAAGCCGTCATTTTCCAGATTTAGAAATATGAATCTCTTTCATAAATGCCTAGTGAGACTCTTCGTATGCTAAATAACGAAATAATCAACGTCTACAAGTCAAATAGTTTCATTTTTTCTGCGATCATTTTAAATACGTGAGTTTATTTGCAAGTACGTCATTTGAAATCTAAAAAGAGTTACTTGACGATAATAATCAATCATTATTTAGCTCAGATTTCTGTTTTGCAAGCTAAATAATTTTATACGTCACTACACACTCTTGTGTATAATTTTTTTAAATTTTACCTTGTAGCACACAATATTTATCTTCCCCAATTTATTATAAAATAATTTATAATAACGTCAACTAAATTGTTATTAAATTAATTTATTTCTTAAATATATCTAAATATATTTTTTTATATTAAAGAAAAGTATCTCTGCAAAAGATATATATTAAAAATTGATATATATATATATTAATATTATATTATAAATTTCATTTATTTGAGATTCCTCCTTCCCTTCTCTCTCTCCCTCCTCTTGTGATTCATTATTACGATAAGAAAAATAGGTAATTATCTAGGAGAACCTCACCGACTTTGATCTTGACATATATGTGAGTAACTTCCAAAAAGTTTTAGTTGACGGTTGTTTATTAAGAAGTTATTAACAATTCTGTAGTAATTACATACAATTATTTAATTCTGTAGTAAAAACATAGTAAAAACATGCATTAAATGCGCAATGTATTCAGTACATACCTACGAATTAAGTAACATTTAATGTTGCAGATATAATGTATACCATTTTGTAGAGTTCTACATAACTTTCTAACATGTGCCATCGATTTTCCTAAATTTAGAAAAAAAAATTAGAAGTTACAATTGTATGTACTGATTTATTATAAGTTTAAATAATCTGTGTTTGTTATAGGATACATTGTTACTAATGTTTGAAAAAATGATTCGATTCTATTCCTGTATTTATATTCTCGTTTAAATAAAAATTCAGCGATGTAAGCACTGTAATGTTTTTGTCTAATTTCATATTTCGGAATTGTAGCACGTAAATCTCGTTATACGTCATGCATTCAATATTTTACGTATGAGCACCTGATTCCGGATCTACAAAATGTTGTGGTTAGATTTACAGTGCAATGAATAAATCCTGCTTCTCTTAAACAATTGTAAGTTTTCGCACAATCAGCATAGATGATGGAATGTGCGCGATTCATCGTTTTATGACTGCCAATAAAGTTTTCGAATTTCTTGCTGAAACCGATTCGATGAATATTTTTTTCGTTTGTCTATTGATGCCACTGAATATCAATTAACTCGTAGCTGCTCGACCTTTCTGATATTTTCTTTTTCCAATTTTTGCTTCGTCAATTTCAACTATGTGATCTGAACCATCAATTTGCAAATTTTGTCGCGACACCCAAAACTCAAAAACCTATAAAAAATAATTAAAAAATTAAAATTAAAATAAAAAATTAAAATTAAAATTAAAATAAAAAATTGAATAATAATAACATAGATAATTTACCTCTCGACAAAAGGAAGACCAAATCACTGTTTGTATGCTAATCGAAAGTTCATTCATTAAACGTTATTATATGGCGGCGAATGATAAACAAAATAACCGATAAAACGACAAATTTTTTTCAAGTCCCTTCGTATATGCTCAAATCACGTTCCATTAAATGCACTAATTTTATAGCCACAATAAATTTTTTGTCTTTTCTTTTTATTTATAATCTTATAAGATACACTGGAACATCGAAAAAATAATGTTTCGCGATTTAACTTTAATTCTGATCTACATTTTGAACAAATAATTGTATCACGTATAACACGATGGAAAATTAAAAAATGCAATAGAGTATCATAATTATCGATGCCCAGATAGAACATGAAACTGACAGGTGATGTCATAATGACATCATTATGACATCACCTAAAGTCATTTTAGAAAAATCATAATCATTTCATTTGATATGCTTTTGGCAATGTTTTGGTGACTTATTTTTGATATTAAACAATTTTAGCGAATCCTGTTGGAGAATATATATACTTCGCGTAATCTTAAGAATCAATCATAATAATATCATTTTTTATATATATTACGCAATTACTTGTTTATTTAATTATTCATATATTTTAATTATATTTAAGCAACATAATCTTTTTAAAATTATATAATGCAATTATTGAACTTAAAAATTTATGATTCTTTTTGTCATCTTTAACTCATTTTTTAATCATTTTTGTTTAGATAACTTTTAAGTGATAAATAAAATCATGATGACGTCATAATGATGTCATTATGAGTTTCATGTTCTATTTGGATGACTCGGAGAATAATTGATATAATTTGATATAATTTCATGTTAATTATTCCCTTCAATGGTCGAAATCACACTATCTACTCCTTCATCCTTCTTCTTATACATTCCGGAACAGTACAATCAAAACAATTACACAGCAGAAGTCTTACTTACATTGTTATAATAGCAATTCAAATATTTTCGGAATCGAATACATACAATAGCACATTTTGTTTCACTGAAAGCAGGAGAAGTAGGAACGATGTATATTGGATAAAAAAACATGGCAAAATACATGCAACAGAGTAGATCTCCCTGTGGGGGCCTTGACTTGCGGAAGATATAATCTAACCCAAAGCTATTTCTAATTTAAAACTAAATTTTGCTTGGAAATGGACCTTGCTTTACGTGAACTTCAATTGTTCACAACTTTTTAACAAACAAAGACAGCCGAATAAAACTTGTTCGAGGTTACTCAAGATCAAAATCATCGATGAGGTTGCCGTTCTTCTAGATAATTACCGAAAAATATTCACAAATATTTTATATTGCACTGGAAAAATATAGAGAATAATTGCATCAAGTTTATAAATTTTTCGATGAAATTGATCTGACTGCGCAAAGAGCAATGATATAGATATAGATATATATATTATATGATGTGAGGAAAAATTAATCATGATATTCATTAGAGCACTCGGCAATTCTCGCTCGAATGAGCGAGTGAAAGCAAAATGAAAGATTACGAAAAGAAAGTGAATCTTTCAGCAGAGTTGGCATTCGAGAATGGTAACTGAGCTTCTTTGGTGCTTTTTATACTAAGGAAAGTAACACAATACTTTAATTCATATATACGTGAATCATGAACCAACTATTCAAGATATATTAACGAAAATTTGGCAATAATTTCTTTTTCATTTAATGTAACAAAACTTGTCAACTTCTCCTCTTTTATGTAACCTAAGTTGCTTTAAACTTTTACAACATATAAGAAAGTAAGAGAAATTATATAGATTGCATGAAGTATAAACTATTTTTAGATATATATATCTTGCGAGAAAGTGAATATATTTTTTTATGCAGAGATATTTTTTTATGTGAATAAACTGCACATATATGCAAGTACAGGAACTTACTTAAAATATCAACGTTAATATTTATAGCTTTAGCATCATGTTGCAACAGTCTAAAAAATTATATTTTCTTTCATTTAATTTTAAGATTATATTTGATGAGGACAAATGTATGATTAAATTTAGCATTACATAAATACTAGTTATTGCATTTGACAATTCGCATTTGTCAATGCAAATGAGTAACAGCCGGTTCAGCTTTAGATGTAGATATTATGTGATGGAACGTAAATTGCCATTGTCTTCCTACATTAATGACCGTTGTAAATTAGTTTCATGAATTATACGTTAAAAATCCTTTTTGGAAAAAAATTATTATTATTTTTAATCAACAAAATAATTAATTAACTTTATATTAACAATTAATGTATCTAAAATATTAATCTCATATATAATCACAAAATTGAAAGAGGAATCCCTGAAAATTTGAGAAGTTTTGCTAATTTAAAATTGTGAATAAATTACAGTGTTCCGCTTTCATTTTAATTTACTTTAATTTACTAGATAAAAGATAAGCATACTAATAAATACTTTAATAATATTTATGAAAAGTTTCGCTAATTAAATTAATATATTGAAGAAAAGTCCTTGATATGTACATATATATAGAAGTTTCGCTAATTAGTGAAATTTTTTATAAATGAATGGTATGATTTTAGCGAAATTTTTCATAAATATTAGAATGGTATGATTTTAGCAAAACTTTATAAATATTGTTAGAATATTAATAAGATGATCTCTTCACGGATTAAAATGAAAGCAGAAAACATAACAAATTCAAAATTTATGTCATACATGTAACATTGAAAAAGACAACATAATTAAATTTGTTTCAAATTTTATTTAAGAATTAAAAATTAATATTTATGTAAAAAATTATTAATAAGTTTAAAAAGTATATTCTAATTTCATTCATTAAAATCATTTAAATAGATTGGTTATTTATATTGGAATCAATAAATATGTGGTCTTTTTATATCAAGGATTTTTTTAAATATATAATAGATATTGACATTATTATATGCATATTCTGTTGTAATATCTTGAAAGTATTTACTTGTGCGACATGCAATAGGCGAACATACACTCGCGGATGTAAGTGCGAGCGAGAGATGGAAAACGTCGACAAGATGTAGGTGAAGGTCCTGAGAGTCCGTTCATGTTGAAGAGTCAGTACCACCACGACAATCCCGCTTTAAATTGACCAGCCGATCGAGCAGCCGGATTACTTTGGTGTACATCGCTCGACAGTCAACATCTCTTTCTCATTTGATACTGTGCGTTTAGTCAGATCTTTCATTCCGCGTCGCGGATAGACGTGGTTTGCAAACTAGTCACTAAGTGGAATTAAAACAGTGTAAAAGAAAGTATCGATTGAAAGTCTCAATCAATCTGGATGAATTCGACACGATAGAATCCAGCAACAATTAAAACTTTGCGAAGAAACCTAAAGAAAAACAGAAGAAAAAAGGAATCATCTCAGAGAAGGAAGAAAAAGTAAATCGGGTTAATCAAATATTAATTATTAATCTGTCAAGTGCGTGTAGGGTAAAATATCTTGTATAATTAAAACTTATGTATCACATATGCATATTAAGATGCGACTCTGAATCAATTAAATTAAAAAGGAAAATTTTTTAGAAAATTATTTTAACAAATTATTAAAAATTAAATTTGTTGCAAAATATTTTTTAAAACATAAATAAACGTTCCGTTTTTAACAAATTAGACAAAGAATAGTATTCATTAAAGTACAAATTAAGCTTCATACGGAACTGAAAGAAGGACATGAGAATGAAGGGAAAATGAGGACGAAAAAAAAAACGCGGACGTTGAAAAATACAAGAGCAAGAAACCGGAACTGTTAAATTGACCAATTAATAAAAAAAACGAATCAAAATTTTTAACAAGGCACATCATTTAGAGCCTTCTTCGCGGATAGACAAAAGCATTTGGCGAACGCGAATGGTAAAAGTGGATCAATGCAACCAGTCCATTGAGTTTGCGCTATAATTTTCTCGCAAATTCCTTACGTTGCCTTTTCCATTTTATAGAATCTATAAATCTTTTGCGATAATGATATAAATTGCTATTCTTTCAACGTTAAGGAAATAAATTAATTCAGTGTTTTTTTAACAAAAATTAAAATTTATATTATTATTAAAATAGAAGATTTCAATTTTAATTGTCAAAGTAATTTTTGCTTTTTAGATATCTTTACGTTATTTTTGAAAGAATTTTTTAATCCCAAGACGAAAAAAATTTTTTAGACTTCTAATCGGAATGAAATTGATCACTTAAATCAAAGTTTCAATCACGATTTTGATATCATTTCTTCTTATCTTATAATTCGTTTTCTTTCCTCTCATTTTAATGAATTTAATTCTAAATATTCTTATCTAATCTTATTTTAATGAATTTTAATATTCTATCTGATCTTATTTTAATAAATAAAAATGTTGAATTAATTTGCGTACCTACTTTCGGGTTGAAACAATATTGCGCTCATGCACATTTACGATATGGCTTGGGATAGAAAGTTGGGTACATCGCAAAATGTATGTGTGTTCTCGTTGCGCAGAGGCCACTTGGTATACTACTTCCTCTCGATGTCTCACTTTCATTCCGCGAGTTGCTTAAACACTATATATACATGTGCGGAATTATAAAAATGAGCTCTCTCATTGTGATCATTGAATATGGCTTTTCAAAATAAATACTGAAAAGTCTCGGTACTATCAATTTTAAAATTGTTGTTTGCGTGATACCAAAGGTATCTGCATTAAAATTATTTTTACAAAATTATTAACTGAATATTATTCAATTAAATTTTAATATTATTTAATTAAATTAAATATTAAAATTAGTGTAATATATAAAAATTTTATTGAAAGCTTAATTTTAAATATGAAAAGCATAGGAAAAATATTAATATATTATATCTACTTTTTTATTTTATTTAAAACTTATAAATAGTAATATTTTTTATTAATAATTAAATGTACATGTTGCTGGAATTTAATTTAATAAAGAGAAATAAAAATTAAATTAATTTAAAGAATTTAAAGAAACATTGCTACATGTGTATCATAATTTAATATCATATTTTTTACATCAATAATGTAATCTTTATGCAAATTTTCAATCTTTCTTTCTTATTTTTTGCTATATTAATGTAATTCTTTATTACAGACTACACACTATGTACAATGTCTCGATGTTCTGTCTGCTTTCTCTTTACGCTCCACATCATATTAACAGCTCCTAGCAAGCAACAATTTGACCAAGAATTCTAGTTCGATTTTCTAGTTTTACTAATATGACTTTTTTACATCTTTAGTAGCAATTATTATCTCATTAGTTCATAAATTAAAAAAGAATTAATTGCCGACATTCTAATTTCTAATTACATGAAAAATTAGTTTTTCTATCAATTTAAATATATCTAATTACATGAAAAATTAGTTTTTCTATAAATTTAAATATATGTACCTCATTAGTTCATAAATTAAATAAAAATTAATTGTCGACATTCTAATTTCTAATTACATGAAAAATTAATTTTTCTATCAATTTAAATATATGTACCTTATGGCTCGTATTTTTCGAGAGATATAAAACCAGGATAACGTTGTTCAATCGGGACACAGAATCCATCGGGATAGAATGTCAAGCTCGAATTACTTTTCAGACAATGGTGACGGAGGGGCAGCCAGAAGAGTATGACAAGTATAAGAGCACGTTGGACGTGGAGACGCTGGAAGCGGCCAGACTGGAGCTTCGCGAGGATGACAACACGAGGGAACAGGCTTTGGAGCAATTCCGTCATTGGATCCAGAAGCATCCGGCGATCAAAAAGTGTAGGACTGACTCGCTATTCCTGTTGAGATTCCTCAGGACGAAGAAGTTCAGTCTACCGATGGCGCAGGAGATGCTCGAGCGCTATCTCACCATCAGACAACTCTATCCAGACTGGTTCCAGAAGCTCGACATCGATGACCCGGACCTCGAAGCCATCATCGATAGTGGCTACTTGGTACCTTTACCGAAACGGGATCGACACGGTCGAAAAGTGATACTGTCATGTGCGGGTAAGAATTTTAAAAAAGATTGCAAAAGTTCAAAGATTAATTTAAAGTACAACAAAAAACACGACATTTTAAAAATTATATATCTTTCTTAATAATAAGTAACATTGATTTTTAAATCAATTTACTTTAATAGTGCATTATTAAATTGTTTATTTCTATTTGGATATTTTAGATTGATGTAGAAGAAAGCAATTCTTTCTATCTGACCTAATCATCTTACATAAATTATATTAAATAATTGCAATTAAATGTAAAAATTATAAATATAATATTAAATATATATAATTATAATAAAAATTAAATCGAAATTGGCAAATAAGAGCCATAGCTGGTAGTTGGAGCGCAAGGAAGAAACAACACTTCCATCTTCCTATCTTATTCTTCGTTTATTTAAAAAAAATAAAAATAATTATATTAATAACAAAAACGAAACGTTTCAGATCATCTTTTGATTCCCCCTCAACGCGATGTTAACAATATATTATAAATTATAATAATAATTGTATATCTTTCACGTCGATTTGAAATTTAATGATGAAACGTACAAGTACATCCTCGGTTGTTAGGATATAAATTTAGACTTAACCGAGGACAAACTCGATTGATTCAATGATAACAGGCATACAAATATATGAAGGAACGTCTCATATCCTTGATAATCTATCATATAGCCTTATATAATTGATAATTTAAACAATCGAGGACATACATTCTATCATTGAATTTCAAACCAACATAAAAGACACATAATCACAATTCGTAATATATATTGTTAATATTCTGCTGAGGATCAAAAGATGATCCGAAATGTTTTGTTTGTTATTAATGTGATTATTTTTACTTCAATATTTTTATTTTTTTGAAATAAAAATAATTATAACTTATAAATAATAACAAACGAAGAATAAGAAAGTAAAAGGAAGTGTTATTTCTTCCTTGCGCTCCAATTACTATGGCTCTTTCGATTTAATTTTTATTAATTATTATTTGAGCCAAATTTGAAAATTCTTATTTAATATAATTATAAATATAATAAATAGTTATAATACAATTACTATATTATAAATATAAAGATAATTTATTTATTATTTAATATATTATATTATAAATTTTTTATTATATTATAAATTATAAATATAATTTATTTAACATAATTATAAATATAATAAATAATTATAATATAATTATTATATTATAAATATAAATTTTCCTTATTTTTACAAAGAACTCTAAACTGTAGATTTAAGTTTGCTTTACAATACTGATTTACATATATTTTACATCTCTTTGAATTTCACAAAAAAAAAATCCTTTATTTCGTGTTTCAAAAATTATTATTATTAACGTATAACATTTTTCTGCTTTATAACTTTATGAGATTGTTCTCCATGTATATTAGATGTTTGTACTTTATTTTTCTGTTTATTTTTTAGGACGTTTCGATCCTTGCAAATTCTCGTCGATACACATGGCTCGGGTCCACAGCATGGTGGTGGAGAGTCTGATGGACGACGAGGAAAATCAGATCCGCGGTTATACACATCTCAATGACGAGTCCGGATTGACCATGAGCCATCTCAGTGCGTGGTCCTTCACGGACATTCGCAATATGTTGAGATGCATACAGAACAGCACCCCGATGCGACACAAGGAAACCCACTTGATCAATATTCCCGGCAGCGTGGCAAAAATCATTGAGTTCGCCATCTCGCTTCTTAATGATAAGCTCAAGTCTCGCGTTATGGTAAATATTACAAATTACTCTTACATAAATTTACATAACTGACAAATAACTTTGACAGATACACAAGGATATAGAGGAGCTGAGAGAAGCGATAGATCCGAAGATTCTGCCGAAGGAATACGGAGGAGAAATTCCACTCTCGGAAATGATCGGTAGGTGATGGATTCCTCTCGTAATTTTTCCCTCGTATTTTTTTAATTTTATATAATTTTACATCCTTTTTTCTCTCACAATTTCTTTGTCTTTCAGCTGAATTCAAAAAGGAACTGAAAGAGAAGAGAAATCAACTCAAAGCTCTCGATGATATGTACATCGAGATTTCACTGAAAGATTATCACGCAGCTAATAACGAAGAGTTGGGTGGAATATGCGGTTCGTTTCGAAAGTTGGAAGTCGACTGAGGGCTAATTTATTTCTATTTCAATCCCGTATCGATAGCATCTAATTTTAATAGTTATTTCCGTCTGCTTGCACATCAAGGAGCAGTTTTATAAAAAATTGAGATACTTTGTTTTCTTCTCTTCTTAGCGCAAAATATCATTTATATAGGAATATGTCATATTATGCTGCGACATAGAAATTATAAACATGTTGAACGAGTATGCAAATGATTATAAATGCATCTCAACAATTATAATTGATTTTAAAACTATTCGTATAGCCATTTTCTCTTTAGATTCTATTTACAACGAAAAAAATTTTTAATGTTAAAGCATTAACATGTTTAGCATTAACATTGGTACATTGGATCTGTACATTAAATATAAGGGAATTTATTTTTATGCTGCAATACCTCGTAAAGAGCATTGTGTGAATAGTATTTCAGTTATTCATTAACTTATGCAATAAGTCTTTCTTATATAACAATTAAGATTTAGTAACGCATACGAGTGAGTTAATACTCATTTCGCCGGTGGTACCAAGTTACCTATGACTTATAAGTCTTGACTATATCTTAGGATGTGATCTGACACACCACTCCAATCGTTCCTTGTCGTTGCAATTATCAAGCATACACTTGCGATCGCATCGTTTTATAATTAGCAGAAGCTTTATATACATATATGAATTAAAATACAAAGCTTAAGCATATATGTAAACATAAGAGTTTATAAAGTTACATCTTTGTTGAAGTTTTTAGTTATGTTTTTAGTGAATAAAATAAAACTCTGGGATGTTTGACATGATTTTCTTGTGGATTTATAGTATATAATTATAATCTTTTAATTATTTAGTCATTTTTAATTATTCTAAGTACATTCAAATTGTTACCGAATCCCAATTATACAGCACGCATATTCTCACTGATATTTAGCAGATATTTTCTATTTAGTGAAAAATGATAATTCTGACTTCATTTCTCTAATATGAAAATTTATAAATACAAGAATATCAGACAGCCATCTTATGCTGAATATTACAGCTTCCAATTTAACATCTTTCATATTTTTTCATTCATAATGTCATAATTTTATTTTTTATTCATTTCTTAGTATGCATTGATAGAATAAACAGTTTATAGCAGTTCTGTAAATTATTGCATATATAAATAAAAAAAAAAAGATCATTATTCATTACTTATATTGCAAGGATTTTTCCAAATAAGACCAAAATAAAAGCTATAATTTAAAACTTTAATTAGAACATTAATCTTTTTACTAAATAAACGTAGATTATTATACGCCTAGACGACACAAGGCGCAGTCCACTAGCACAATGATTGAAAATCTATAAATAAAATAAACAGAATCATTGAATCAGTTATTCAACATCATGATATTCAAAAAAAAAAAAAAAAAAAAAAAAAAAAAAAAAAAAAAAAAAAAAAAAAAAAAAAAAAAAAAAAAAAAAAAAAAAAAAAAAAAAAAAAAAAAAAAAAAAAAAAAAAAAAAAAAAAAAAAAAAAAAAAAAAAAAAAAAAAACAATCATTGTTCCACCATATTTTTCAATTGTTTATGCATACGTGGATGCGCAATATTTTTTCAATTTTAAAGATAGATCGGTCAATATAAGTAAACTAAATATTTTTCTTTATATATTATATACATGTATATATTTCTATTGATCCTCATCATTGATTATTTGTTCTAAAAACTCAATGTTTGGCGGTGCTGTGGTGTAAAGGCTTCCTGAAATCGAAAGGAGAAAATTGAAATGCAACAATACAAACTAAATATTAGAATCTTTGTATAACGAAAAGATTATTATAAAATTGCAAATATATCCATATTTAAAAAATGCCGCATTATTTTCATTATGCACGGTTTACATACCAATAAAATTTTGTAGACTATTGTCAAATGTAATAATTTTGCAATTGTTTCTTTGTTTTATTTTAAATCCTACACAGCGAAATCGTTCATCGGTTTCATACAAGTTGACGCTCTTTCGCGAACTCAAGTGGGGTTGTCCACTAAAGGGATTAATAAAGTCTGCCCAATAACCAGCCATCTTGAGCTTGGTGCATATATTCCAGGCTGCTAAAACAAACTAATAGACTAATTATATTTCATCAATATTTTCCATTTTTAAATTTTATTTATATAACTATCATACTATGATACTATTATATCATAAATATCATACTATAATATTGCAATATAATATATATTTAGCTCACAAATTTGGCAAGTTTCTCTGTTTCGATTTCCTTACGCCATCTCATTGATTTAAGATTTGCCTTCTGATTAATAGTTATAATAGTGAGTTGCGATGAGGTCACGTCTAAGCATTCTGGAAATAATTCTTCTATGCTTTTTCGCAAGAGAACAGGACATTCTTGCGCTACATAATCTAACATTGGATGCATGACTTTCCAATTTCTCTGACTTCTTTGATATCCATTTTCATTATTTAAAGATTCTATTAATGCTTCTTCTTCAGATGCTTCATCAAAATAAGTCTTAACTTGGGCAGTGGTTGTAGCATCTAACCAAGCAGGTCCTACGCTTCCAGGAAGATAAAATCGGAAGCCTCTTGGTGTTAACAATTTCCAGTTAGAATTGGTATCCCATGCATTGTTGTCAATATCACCTTTTTGTAAAATATCCATAACAACAAATATAGATTAATATAGATTAAATATTTAAATAATTTAAATGAAAAATGTACTTTTTGATATATAAAATTTGACAGTTAATAAAAGTAGTTTTAATATAAATATTTCGCAGCTGGTATAAAATCTAATTAGCAAGAAATTATAATCTATTCTGACATAATAATTAGGCTGGAGATTATTGTATCATTTTTCATATGATTGATATACGCAATCTGAATATAATTCTCTACAAGCATTTTTAATATGTATTTAATTATAAATACATATTTTTGCAAAAAAATATATAAAATTTTTAGAATTTTTTATAAATCAATAATATTGTTCTAGGAAGATAGAAGACAATGATAACTTGATTGATATAAGTTTTAATAATTAGTATATGGATTTTGAGGAAAATTGCAGATTTTAGATATGACCTAGGTCAATGACGTTGGCTTTTTCTTTGTTAAATAACGGGATGAAATGATACCACTCACCGTCCAAGGAGTCACCATTAGATTTGACAACCTTGTCTAAAAAGGTACTTGTGCTTCTGTCGCTTCGACGTGAATAGAGAGCTCTCGGAACCAAATTAAATAGCAACGAAATACCGCGCTTTCCCCCGTATCTTATATAGAGCATCTGGAAGTGATGTTTTTGTAGGTTACATTCACGAATCAATCAGCTGAGAAACCATCACTTCGCGCTCTCGCGGATAAGCATGATCCTTTACCGTTTCGAGTAACAATACATCACTGGGACGTGGACACAATTTACATAGTAAATTTCGATAAGGCAATGAAAACAATATATTTGCGTACACTCGATTAAAAACTATACCTATCTATACTCTTTATTTATAATACAGCGTATTAAGTGCGTTCGAAAATCCTACTCGTGGGCACTGAATTGTCCTGTGATTGGTCAATTAAATTCTATTTTAATAGATTTATAAAATCATAAAAATTCTATTTTAATAAATTTATAAAATCATAACAAATATAAAAAATATCAATTTTTGTAAAACAAATAATTTGAAATTTTTTAATAGAATTTACATGAGGATACACTTTTAGAGATATTGCAATATTTTCTATTTTAATTTTATAACAAACAAAATTACATGATATATATTATCAACTATTTTTTATTTATTTTCTTTATGAATTTTTTATATATTATATATAAATTACATTGCATGTGGTAAGATAAGTGTGAATAAATTAAATAGATATTGACAAGGATTTTCGAACACACTCTATTCGTGTTACTCGACAGGTGCTGCCATCATCGATAAATCGTCGAGAGAATACGATTCATCGAGTAATCTCATTTTCTTTTTTTCATTTTTTCACGTATTTATTACGCGTACTTGATTATATCAACGTTATTCTATTAAACATGAACGAGAGAGCAGATTGAGAGAGAGAAAGCAGATTGAGAGAGAGAAAATTGCTGGTCTTGGTAACTTGAAAAATTTATTATCTCTCTTTTACCAGAAAAAAACCGTTATTTTACGATAATAATATTCGCAGCTAACCGCAATTGATTTTTTATGATAATTTATTTTCGATCGATTGTTTATTAAAGTATTTTTCGAATTTTACGTCTATTATATTTTTAAATAGCAATTATATTTAATTGCGTTTGTTGTATTTATCTTCTTTTCTTTTCCGAAAGTATTAAATACATATATACGTTTTTCTTTTGTATTAAAAAAGCAAAAAGTACAATTTCAATAGCAATTAAAACAAACCTGTCTAATATATAATTATTATATAATATACAATATATTTATAATTATACTATATATAATATATTATAATTATAAATGTAATATATATAAATAATAATTATATATATATATATATATATATATATATACAATAGTTATATATTAGATATTAATATAATTATATATATATATACTATATATACATATAATTCTAATTATAAATGTATTAAAATTATATCATTTATATATAATTTTTGTATAATTATTGCGAAGACTTCATTGCTTTAATATTTCGAGAAATTCACGATATTATATTTGAAAATAAATTTAATAAAATTACGAAAGATTATCTTTTGTAAAATGTCGAGTAATGTAATAGTATAAATTTCATCCTAATATATAATAGTATAAATAAAATTCCTTCGCTGAAATGATAACGATCATCGTTAGGTGGATATTATATCCTTGTTTCATAATTATCATAACTGAATCAATATTATTTCTCTTATTACTGCAAATTATACTCTTTTGTATTATCGTATTTTAATAAACTAGTTTGCTCATCTTCTGTCTGTAAATAATATTTTCTCGAATAACACGCAATATTTATTATCTATTTATTAAATTACCTCCATAAAATTTTGTAATTATTGTATAATTAATATATTAAAATTATATTTTGTATAATTGAGCCCTTTAATTAGTATATGCTTATCATATGATATGAATGAATCTGTAAATATAAATTATATAAAATTACATATAATAATATAAAAAAAAATAATATATATGTACATATAATATTATTTTTAATATAATATTACTTTTATTTATACAATATTACTTTTACTTTAAAGTATGTTTAAAATGTTGGAAAATATTCATGGTGGGCAGAAAACTTTTTACTTTATGACGTAAATCGAGGAACGTTATTGAAATGTCGTAAAGATCGATTATAATTAATTTTGACATTTGGTGACAAAATGGCTCTCGGATATATTAGGCAAAATTCTTTATTGATTACATTTTACAGTTACATCTTTTACTGGGTCGTGATAATCTGAAAAAGTTCGGTATCTCGTGAAATAAAACGCCAAGCGCTGGAATTATACTGTGTATGCAGTATTATAAGTTAATTTTAATCTTATTACGGCAAATATATATATATATAATATATACGTTTGTATGTCTTAATAAAATGACAAAATTCACATAAATATATGTCACGTTACACGCTATGAGAGCGGGTGTAGCTCGTGCATATATGTGTGTGTGTGTGTGTGTGTGTGTGTGTGTGTGTGTGTGTGTGTGTGTGCGTGCGTGCGTGCGTGTGGTGTGTGTGTGTGTGTGTGCGTGCGTGCGTGCGTGCGTGTGGTGTGTGTGTGTGTGTGTGTGCGCGCGCGCGCGCGCGCGCGCGTGTATGTGCGTGTGTATGTATATATATATATACCCATTTTACGATCGTTTCTATGACCGAGTGACGACGCCTAGGGTACAATATGTATGTATATGTGTATATGTATGTGTATATATATGTATATATATAAAGATCTCTATATAATACACGGGATAAAAACATCGTAAGAAACTAATATATACGTCGAATTATTTCTCGTCGTCAATGGAATCACGTGGACGTCCTCCACTTGGTGTCCGAATATTAAATCTTTCGCGTTTCTCTCAAGTATTCGATAAAATATGCAATAACGGAATAATGCTCCGTCGGAATAATTATTTTTTTTTCATTTCTATCGTCGAACGAATAATCGTTTTTTCATGCAATTGTGTGTAAATGCGCGTGTTCTTTGCAGGCTTCGAATTCGATTCATCGTCCCGACGTCGAAGACAGAAAGAACGACAGTCAATAGAGTTTCAATGGAGTTTCCGGATGCGTCCGATTCGTGGACATCTCGACTGGATGAATATGAGAGAACGAGAAGATGGTAAGTCATAGAAAGTTACATCTAAACTGGACATGGCGCATACACTTAGCGGAAAGAAAAATTTTAATTTACTCGAAAGTAATTTTGCACAATAATGCACAGAAATAATTAATTAAGAGCATATTTTAATGCAGCTCGGACATTTTTTTAAAAATTAGTAATAATAAATTTAAATATTATGTAATATATATAAAGCTTTTTTAATTAATTTTAATTAAAAAGCAATGAAAAGTTATTTTTTCTGCAAAAGAGATCTTATAATAGATTCGTAAAAAATATATATTTTATAAAGAGATAATTTGAGATGTTTTAATAAAATATAAAAGAGGATGTACATTTTTGGAAACACAAAATTATGCTCTTTTACATGATATATACTATTTACTATTTTTGATTTCCTCTATGTGAAAATTCCTTTCATATATTATATATAAATTACATCGCATGGTAAACATTGAACATTAAATAAGTGTGAACATTAATTAAGTATTTCATGATACTTGAACATCTATCAATTCGCTCGCAAATTCTGTCAACGATTTAATTCGTACGATATCATAATTGATCGTGATGTTTGGCGCTTTCATAATTTATTTTATTGTACGCCCAGAACTTTTCTCACGTATTTATCACGTATTTATCATTAACACGCGAGAAGGCAACATGTCCACGAATCGTTTCCAAAAATGAATCACAAGGTTGACAGGGACGGGTGTCAATGGTATTTTATATCGTTCCCAAAAACTTTCCGACACGAAATAGTCCCTTTTAGCACGTCTAAAAATCGTTTTAATCAGCGTTTTCCAAAAAGCGATATTTTGCTTCCCAGGGGCAAAAGCCATAGGGAAATACTCTCGGATAGTAATATATGAAAAAAAATACTATGATAAATATATAATATTTGCAAATAAATTATTTTGAAAAAAATAAAATAAAATTGTTTCGAAATAAAAAATTCGTGGAAGATCCGTAGAAAATTCACGAATTCTTTTTTTCTTTTTTTTTTAAGAAATGGAAATTAAACTATTGCTTTTTAAGCGAAAAACGATAGAATATGAACGCCGTTTTCTCCTGATCGCAATATTACATTAGTTAATCACTATGTTGTCGGAATGTTGATATAAGTACGATACATTCACAGAAAGAGACAAGAAAATTTCTCAGCCGATTCTCTGAGGCTGACGTCGCAGTGTTAATTTTTTTTCTTTTTTTTTCCACTTCACTTACATGTACAGGTACGGATATATAACATCGATTTGTGTGAAATCGCCTAATCGCTAGGCTATGGTCCGCAATGTATTCGTCAATGCTCAGGTACGTGCCAAATATACCAGCTTGTCTCTGCGGCGTTTTGGATTAACACGAGACACGTACCTGGCAATCAGCGTCCTAAACCTAAATCTATAGGTAAACCGTGCACGAGACGTCCCTTGCGTCTTCAATCGTCCCCTTATCGGCTGTGATGTTAGCTCTGAATTCGCTGAAGGCGAATCCGGTGGATTTTATGGACGTAAATTTCGCCGATTATTCATACGTGGTATGCAGAACGAGGACGATGATAATTATGATAATTATACGTAATTACCGACAGCTATAAATATAATTATGCGTACGATTGAAACGGCACCTGACGATGTTTACATTCATTACGAATAATTACTATATTTATTTTATTCTAATTATGTAAACACACATATAAGTAACTCTTTATCTCGATTAGTGTCTTCTTTGTTGTATAAAATTGAATTAATATGTCTACAGAGTATTATTTTATACGATTATATAATTTGAAGAAAGAGAAACACGTAACGCATACGTGCACGAAATTAAAAATATTTAGCTATTAAAAACATTAACTATATTATTGAAAATTCATTATAGTTAATGCAATCACAACAGACTCATATTAAATCTTTCAAACTAGATTATCGCAAAATATTAATTTATTATGAAATTGTTGTACAAGGTTCTCGATTTAATGAGAAATATTCGCTACATTCGTTGCTTCGTTTTGCAAAATATCAATGTAATTTTAAATGATATTATTCGATGCAAAAGTAACATATAAAAAATAATTATAAGTAATTATAGAATATTATATTATACGCGAATATTATGTTAAATTAAAATAAATTATCTCTTTATTGTTTCAAATAACTTCCCTATACAATTTCTACTGAATTAAAACTGTTCAATAATTATTATCCT